AACAAAACAAGGTCATAAAAATTCCCAAAGGAGAATAGTCCTCATACCTGAATATTATACCTAGCTAAACTATTAATTAAATGTAAGGCTAGAATAAAGACATTTTCAGGTTGGCAAGATCTCAAAAAAGTACACATTCTCTGGAAGGTTCCATGTTTTCTGGCTGCCAAGCATTCCCTTATGCTGGCCTTCACTTTCATTGCTCATTAAGCCACTTGCCACTTTCTATTTATAAGCTAAACTCCATGTCCATTCTGTAAGGTCCAGTTTTAAGCCACCACCTCCTCCAAGGACTTTCCGTTCCCGCCAGCAGGGTGCGCTCTTCCCCCCTGATGCTCGGGATTCCCATATGGTACTTCTACTCTACCTATAATCAGCATGATTTAAGGCCAAGACTTTCCTCCCTAAGTAAACAGAAGAAGCTTCCTGCAGGCGGTCTATTTCTTTGTGGCTCTGGCCCGCAGCCCGTGTACTCACCAACTGTGCCTAGTAGAATTTCTTTAATAGGTAGACATTCACTGTTGAGAGAACAGTCGACTTAAAATTTCATGTTAATCCATTCTCCTGAGAATACTGCACTGAACCTGATTCATCTCTGCCCCAATCTTTTCCACATACAGACTTTCCACTCTAACTCAGAGTATCCACATCTACAGCAGAAAGGTTCAGCTCTGGGGAGTAAGGGGACAAGAAAAAAGTTATCCTTTCAATGAAAAAAGATGGTCATGTGACCCAGGCATTTCACTCCCAGGTACATACGTGCGAGAAATAAAAACATGTTCATGCAAAAACTTGTGCATGACTGTTCATAACAGCATTCTTCACAATAGCTAGAAATGGAAACAACCCAGATGTCCAATGATAAATGAATAAAATGTGATCTACACATACAATGCATGGAGTATTATTGGGCAATAAAAAGGAATGAGGTACCGACACATGCTATAGCATGATGAACACTGAAAACATTACCGAGGCACCTGGTGGCTCAGTCAGTTGAGCATCCAACCTAATTAAGCTCAGGTCATGATCTCACGGTTCCTGAGTTCAGCCCTACGCTGCCGGCTTCAGATCCTCTGTCTCCCTGTCTCTCTGCCCCTCCCCCATTTGTGCTCTCTCAAAACTAAACATTAAAAAAAAAAAAAAGAAAACATCACTAAGTGAAGGTAGCCAGTCTGAACAGACCACCTGCTGCAGGGTTCCATTTATACGCAATACTCAGAGCAGACAGACAGATCTACACAGTCACTAAGCTGGACAGTGGTTGCTTAGGGCTGAGGGAGTTGGAGAGAGAGAGTGGACAGTGCTTAGAACATAGGATTTCTTTAAGGAGCAATGAGTATCTCGAATCGACTCTAATGATGCTTGCACCCCTCTGTGCACAAACTAAAACCCACCGGAATTGTATACTTTAAATGAGTGAATTACATCTCAATAAAGATGTCTTTTCAAAAAGATCAACGTGAGAAGAAATGAAATTCATGTCCTACTTGTCTTTAAGGCAAAAGCCAAAGAGCACCAGCTTAAATGAGGGAAGATTTGCAACGTAGGATAAAAACCGCAAAGGATTAAATCATGCCTTCAGGAGGAAAATCCCAAGCTAAAAACACAAGGTCGCGTCAGCTGATCTTTCTTTGCCTCAAAATTAATACGGAATTTGTTCACTGTAGAGCTGACTATTTTAAGAGAAACCATGACAAAGGACAGGGAAAAGGAGTGACTTTTACTGGACGCACAGAGTGCCCGGTTATAGAAACTTCTATAGGTCACTTCATTTCAAAAGGCAGCGCCTGTTTCAGTACTTGCCAATCACCTTATTTTATAGACAGGCTCTTAAAGGCAATTAAGGATCACGTAGTTCAGATGTAAGGAGGGCCAGGCTCTGAAAGTGCTGCTGAGGTTTATTCCAGAATTTGCACCGCCTTGGTGCGTGTGATCTGTGGGAGCGGAGACGCAGCGCCCACTGAGAGCGTCTTCGCGGTGAAGAGATGCTGGGACAGTTACAGCAGAAATGTGCAAAACTTTCGAATCTTCCAAAATGGATGTGCAATGTGTTGTCACAACTCTCTAAAATTAAATGACGAATCCGTGTATTTTTAAACTTGAAGGCTTTATCTTAAAAAAGGGCTCACGGGAGCACCCAGGGGGCTCAGTCGGTTAAGCAGCTGACTCTTGATTTCCGCTCAGGTCTTGATCTTATGGTTCCTGAGTTCGAGCCTTGGTGTGGGGCTCTTTGTTGACAGTGCAGAGCCAGCTTAGAATTCTCTCTCTCCCCCTCTCTCTCCGCTCCTCCCCTGCCCGCATGTGCCTGCGCGTGCGCTCTTTCTCTCAAGATAAACTTAAAAATTAAATAAATACACGGGGTGCCTGGGTGGCTCAGTTGGCTGGGGGTCCGACTTCGGCTCAGGTCAGGAGTTCAAGCCCCGTGTCAGTGTCTCTCTCTCTCTCTCTGTCTGCCCCTCCCCCACTCATACTGTCTCTCTCTCAAAAAGATATGAACATTAAAAAAAAAACCATGAAATAAATAGCTAAAAAATAAATTTAAAAGGGCCCGCAAAGTCCTGCTGACATAAAGGAAGACATGGTGGAAGGGGAACAGGTAAACATAAGCTAATGAATAAGCCAATTCCAATCCCTCTTCTAGGGTCTTGGAATTAATAAGCCAGACCTACCAAACCATGCTTTCACATAAAGTACACTTAAATCTAGTCCTTGCATGCTCTTTCAGAACATACTCATATTCTCTCTCATCCTAGGGTCTCACTCATTTGAATACATCAAGGCTTCAATTTACTGACTGAATTTTAAGGAAGAAAAATGGATGTAACTCAACCATTCTTCTTAAGCACAGGAAACAGTCTTTCAAATGGTTTGCCTTTGTTTTAAATTTCCTTCATTTTCCTCTCACCTTCTAAGTTATTTTTAGATAAACTTTTTAGGCTGTAGAACACGGAACTTGAACCTGGGGTCAATATTTTGCTCTACGCCGGTTAAAGGATATTTAAAAGTTCTACTCAGTTGTGTCACTTAATGGAGGACTTTCGACACACATCATGGACAAAAACACCCACACAGATAACTAAAGACTTTAAAAACCAAATCTACAAGAAAGACACTGGGTTGTATGATGATGTGAAACGAATCTGAAACACCGTTTAATTTTGGTATGTGAAGATCACATGAATAAATTAGTGCAAATACAACACTCTTATTTCTGGAACACTGTTATTTTTTTTCTCCCCCAGACTTTTCTTTGTATCCTGGTGCAAAATACAGAATGAAGAATTCAGATTCTCGAACTCAACATACATTAGCTACACTGCAAACCTGTGGCGATTAACTTTGCTAGTCAGGCATTCGCTGTTTACTCTTCTCTCTCTCCCCCTCTCCCCTCTCTCTATATTACTGTGTAGGAACATTTCACAAGAGATCTACCCTTTTAACCAAGGAAGCGCAAAGTACAGAAGTGGTAACTCTGGGCATGATGTCGTACAACAGATCTAGAATGTATTCATCTTGCCTAACTGCGGCTTTCGGTCTGTGGATTAACAGCTCCCCATTTCCTCCTCCTAATCCCTGCCAACCACCATTCTACTCTCTGCCCCTGGGAGTCTGACTGCTTTAGAAGCCTCCCAAAAGAGGAGTCGCCCAGGGTTCGCCCTTCCGTGACTTGGCTTAGTTCACTTGGCGTGAGGTCCCCCACGTTCACGTGTGCTGCGGCATCATCGTGTTTCAAATGGCGAAGGCTGGTGGAGCAGATGAGCGGACAGCACCACGGCCCCACCTTGCTTTATCAACCCCCGGCTCCCGCTGTTTATGGCAGATCCTGCGGTCTAGATGGTGTCAGATCTGGCGACGACCTCCCTGCCAGCTGAGGTGCGAACACCGTTTTGATAGGATATACGGAAAGACTGCTTTTTAAAAGTCAAGGCCTCCTGGCAGTTCCTCTGTAATCTACTAGGGCCGCTGTGCAAGGGCCATGAATATTACATAAGGACCATCCATGCATTCAAGCCAGAGTCTCCAAGCCACAATTCCCATAGCAACACACAGAGATTTCACTCCTCTCAGAGATGAAGCAGACAGCCCAAGTGCCTAATGCCACCCTTGATTTTTTTTTTTTAGCAAGATCAACACAGCAATGTTTTACAAAGCAACAGTTTTTTCCAAAAAAAAAAAAAAAAAACAACAACAAAACAAAACAAAAAAACCCATGACTTTGTGAAATGTGTTCATTTAAAAGTTACCGAGCATCACATGCACCAAGATACCATAAACTTGAACCACGACCTATGCTTTAGAAACACTGCCATTCGGATGACTGCGTGGAAAGAGGAAAGCAAACCATTATCATGAGTGAAATGAACCACCCTCTTGGCTTAAATCCTGTCCTCAGAGATTTGGGATCTGATTTCTAGTCTCCCTTCCTACACACACACTGATACAGGATGGAGAACATCTTCCAAAGGAAGGGACATTTTTAACCAGTAAAATCCTTTACTGCTTGTTGAAAACCAGAATGCAATCCATTTCTTAAATATAAGAAAATACTATTACAAAACACCTATGGGGTGAAACTGGGGGAAAGGAGCATTCCAGACTAAGAAATCACACACACATTACCCTGAAGAAAGTTGTTTTCCAGAACAGAGAAGCGGTTTCCTGGATTAATGAAGTCAAATCACTCTGTGAAGAGAAACAGGCTTTCCTTGTGCTCGATTTGGGGATCCTTCCTGAGTGTCCCAATAAACTACCCACCCCCAGACACAACTCGCTCCGATTACAAAACCACAGAAAAGCCCAAGACCACACTCCTGTATGGCACTTCCTTTTTCTATCAAGGAAATCAAACACACTCCATTTCCGGTACTTGTTGACAATCAGACAATGAAATACCGTCAAAGACTTGCCGGAGGCTTTGAAGGAAACCGCCACAGGTGCCCATCACAGACCGAGCCCAAGTGGCCAAGAGCGAGCGTGGGGGGGAGAAAGGGGTTTACCTTTGCTTTTTCCAACTGCGCCTGGGCCTGTCGCTCTGCTTCTCTGCGCACTGCCTCCCGATCTTCCTCCAAAGAAACATCTGAGTCGGACGGACGGCTGGTGTAGGAGTCTGCCGAACCCTTCAGAGAAAAATTTGCATTTTAAAATAGATTCCATCTATGATGTTTGCATTGGAAAAGTCTCATTGACACAGCAGTTAGCTTCCTAGATTATGCTGTACATTCCTGAAAAGAGGAGAAAAGAATCCATTTTGTGGCAAACCAGGGAGAAAGATCCTGCTCTCTGGTTTGCAGACCGTTCCCTTGGCGGGCTGTGCCTGCCAAGTGACCATTCCTTAGGAAGTCTGATGCTGCGATGACTATCCTTTCTGGAAGCCAGAGCCGGTCCCTTTATAATGAAACCAGCTCCGTGGTGCAGTGCCCGGCTGAAGGGCATAGAGGGGTTTCAAGGATGGCTTCAAGAACATTCTACACACTAATGCAAGTATTTACAACTAGCAAGAAGATACGTCTAATAATAATAATTAAAAAACACATAAAAGAAAAAACTCCTAACGAGTTATAAACTTGAATTCTCCGAAAGGTCACTACCGGGAGCTGACTCCCATGGCGATCTTAAGCATCCTTGGGTACCTTTTCATTCACCTGATACCTTCCCTGACAAAACAGTCAGGCGGCAGCAGCCGGCTTCACTCAATCTTTAAGCAACACATTTTTCAAGAGCTTTAAATAGACGTTTAATAAAAGCTGCCTTCAAGAAAACACCTGCCCGGTCTCTGGCAATAAATCACAGCACAGGCAAAGGAGCTCGGAAAATTATAGGACTCTCCCTCGCTCCCCGTCTCGCAATCAGGATCATATTACTAAATCACAGGAGCCCCTGCGAGCACTCACTGTAACAGCATAAGCAACGACAACACAGAGTCTCCCCCAGACGCAAGCCCTTGAGCTTACACAGATATCCGAATTCTTCAGCCTTCCTCCCTTGGCTCTTTTCAGAAGCCTGATCCAGGTGGCCTTCATTAGCCAGACAGCGCCTTTCTCATCCGCAGCTGCAGCCCCGGGCACAGATCCTCAGTGCGCGCTGAGCCCTGGAGAGCCCCTGCTCCTTTCCTATCCATGCTCTGGGCAAGCCCCTCTTCTCCGTCCCTGCCTGCCTCCGGGGCTTTCACTCCCTACCCCGGAGGACTCCAATCCAAGGAGATTCTTATTTTCCCATTCCAGGGGGGGAAAAACAAACAAATACCAGTGCCTGATATTGCTTTAAGAATAAAGAACACTTCAAGTGCATTCAAAGACAGGCATCAACTCGTTCTAAACTTAATGCATCTCATTACTCTAAATATTCTCCTCTTTGCTCTTGGATTGTTACAGGAAATTAGTTGTAAGAGAACCTTTTTAAAAAAAACCCAGTGCAAAACGTATGCAGTGACATTTGCAAGTGCAAAGTTCAAGCCTTATCTTCAGAGATCTGGAGGGGGAGGGCGGAGGACGCACTCACTGCACTGGGCATGCTCCATATGTAGCCTTTTTACGCAGATGCCTACATCACACTGTTAGTCTATGTCAAATTGCCATTTTGCATCCGAAGTGTAAACAGCTGGAAAGGGCTTTTCGGTTCTATAGTAACAGGCACATGGTATGTTTGTCATGTTTCTGCTTCAGTTGAAACAGTTTCTCAAAGACAAAGCATGCCATCTTTTCATTTAATGAGCCCTGCTACAGAAAGTATATCCTATGCCATAAGACAATTCAAAGATAAGCGGCATTATACATACATTATTGGGCAGCAGAAAGCAATGAATGATGCCTATCAATCATAACATCGAACTGCTCTTGATGGCTTGTGGCTTCCCAAACAAGATGCAGGAGACAGAGCTCCCTGTCTAATTAGGACATGAAAGTAATCACAGCTCTAAGCAATGAGTTTAACCGAGCTCAAAATGACTTTGAACTGCTTCTCCCACTGAGAAACTACCGTTTGAAATAAAGTCCCTAGAACGAACAACAGTACGGACTGTCGGAACAATAATGATGAAGAAATCGCAAAGCTCGGTTGATTTATTATCTCGAGTTAAGATTTATGGGATAATGCAGTCCAGACTCTTTTTATAAATAAGGTGATTGAAGCTTGAGAAGAAACGATGCTTATTAGTTTCCTCTACCAATGAGATTACATTTTAAAGGTGTACGAAGAAATACACACTTCTAGATGTCTTCGTAAACATAAAATTCGATCACTGCCTTCCAAGCTACACTTGTTTGTGTGGTGGGGAGGGTATTATTTTGTAAAGCGTCATGCAAATGAAAGACAGGTGGTTTTATTTTTATTTTTTATGAATTTTTTAAATGTTTGTTTTTGAGAGAGAGAGAGAGAATGAGAGACAGACTGTTGAGTGGGAGAAGGGCAGAGAAAAAGGGAGACACAGAATCTGAAGCAGGCTCCAGGATCTGAGCCGTCCCGGCTTGAAACTCAGAAACTGCGAGATCATGCCCTGGGCTGAAGTCGGACCCTCAACTGACTGAGCCCACCAGGCGCCCCAAGACAGGTGGTTTTAAAATCTTTATTACTTTTTATTTCTTCCTTCGTTTCATCTCTTCCTCCCTGTTCATTTGTGGGCTAAAACAAATCTTCATGATTTAAATGCTAGAAAATACAGAATAGAGGCTTTAAAATAAGTTACAGATTGAATGCACCCTGTGTTATCCATAAACCAATAAACAGATTATTTCTATTCGTATGCAGTTAATGTAAAATGCATGGGAGATACAAAATGCATAGCAATTTTTTATTCCAGTAAAATTCACAAGGGAGATACGAATTTTTCTCTATCCACACACAGGCTAGCGGATTCCTAATCTTCCCAGAGGGTTTCTCATGGCGAGAGCAGCACAGTAGAAAATTACCTGGAAACACAGCTTTATCCCACAAAGGGCTTCCAGCCCCACTCTCACAAATGCTAGCATTTTAAACCCAATCACCCCGCAGAAGGTTCTGTTCACACCTCAGTGAAGATACAAAGTTTCTGTCATTAAGAAACCCCCCTAAGGAGAGGAAGAGCACAACACACACATAACTGTGCGCTATCCTGGTCCCTTCTGAACAAAATAGGATTTAAAAGTTCTTTGCTGGGGCACCTGATTGGCCCAGTCAGTTGAGCATTCGACTACAGCTCAGGTCATGATCTCCTTGTCGGTGAGTTCGAGCCCCGCATCAGGCTGTGTGCGGACAGCTCAGAGCCTGGAACCTTCAGATTCTGTGTCTCCTTCTCTCTCTGCCTCTCCCCCGCTTGTGTTCTTTCTCTCTCTCAAAAATAAATAAACAGTAAAAAAATAGTAATAAATAAATAAATAAAAAGTCCTTCGCTGATAACCAGATGTAGCTTTTAATTGCACAGTCATGTTGAAACCTGTTTCCAGGTTTAAATAATTAAGCAGTTTTTTAAAAAACCCTACAGTGGGGCGCCTGGGTGGCTTAATCGGTTAAGCGTCCGACTTTCGCTTAGGTCACGATCTCGCGGTTCGTGGGTTCGAGCCCCGCGTCGGGCTCTGTGCTGACTGCCAGCTCAGAGCCTGGAGCCTGTTTCAGTCTGTGACTTCCTCTCTCTCTGACCCTCCCCTGCTCACGCTGTCTTTCTCTCTCTCTCCTAGAAATAAATAAAACATTAAAATAAATAAATAAATAAAAAATAAAAAACCCTACAGTGACTTTGGCAATGATCTTTTGAATAACTGTAATAATATATTAACTTCTGACTGTCTTACAGGATGAAATGTGACTCTCCAATGATGTCTGGTGAGGCTGATAGAAGGAACCACCATATTATCATTTCTTGTATCTGTAATAGTAACAGAAAAATGGCGACAAAATATCTTCATTAGAGAAGTTACATGTACCCACTGCAGAGAGAGAGAGACCCAAATAGCGGTCACTTTAAATTCTCCCACCCAAAGATAACCACTAGGAAATAGCATGTCTTAGCCTCCAGAGTTCTTGCATCTTTGAAAGTCACCCTCCCAACATGCAGATTTCAATTAATCGCCTTCCTTCTGGGAGTGTGGATTTATGCAGTTAGAAGTAACATATCTCATTAAGCTTTTGCCTTTGGTACCATATGGACTTTCTGGGTCATTCTGCCTCAAGTAGTCTTCAGTCAGAAACAGCTGGCTGTCATTTCCAGAAATCCAGAATAAGTTCATTACAAGATATACCCTTGATCTCCTGGGTTGCAACAATGTGATGAGCTAGTCTTTGGTAATTTTGTCCTTACAGGTAGGTGTATCACACAGTCAGCTACAGATATTTCCTTTCCTACGCTTAATATTCCCATTCCTCATTGCACAGCTCTGAAATGTAACCTGTAACCTGCTATCTACCAAAACTCATCCAGGGTCATTTCCTTTTATCCTCAGAACTCCGACTCCAAATACATGTGCTTTGCTTATAGGAAATGTAGTTAAATGGATTCACTCATGCTTTTCTTAAAGGTTTGTTTTATTTATTTTGAGTGAGGCATCCAGTGTAAACAAGGGAGAGGCCGAGATAGAGGGAGAGAGAGAATCCCAAGCAGGTTCCTAACTGTTAGTGCAGAGCCCGATGCAGGGCTCGAACTCACGAACCATGAGATCATGATCTGAGTCCAAATCAGACACTTAACCAACCGAGCCGCCCAGGCCCCCAAATTAACTCATTCTTTTTATCTACTCTTCAGTTTTTGGTTCCCGCCCCCCCCTTAATTTAGGCCGAATATTTGTACAAAAGCATATTTTTTGGGATTTATAAAGTTTGCTTTTTTGATGCTGTACTCTGTTTCATGTATATTGCCAGCATCATTTTCTCTTGAGCATTCTTGTATTTTCTCTTCTAAAGCCAAAAGGGTAAGAGTCATAGCCTATTCAGGAATTGCATCTTTGATCCTAAAGTGCCCGTCTATTTACGTAGACGTCATATGAAGATTAAGCAGTGCTCTTGGGCAAAGACAATTTCTCACAATATCCCAGGGTTATCCTGATACTAGATAAATTTACATTCCATCCAAAACCCTCATGACTTCAAATGACCCTCTTTCTGTATAGGACTATGCTAAGCCAATGGCAAGTTTGAATTCAATTGCTTCCTCCTGACCTGCCCTGGTCTAGATAGACATTCCACTGCCATATTCCTCAGGCCCACACTTTTAGAAAAAAGTGAAATGGGGGGCACCTGGGTGGCTCAGTCGGTTAAGCATCTGACTTCAGCTCAGGTCATGATCTCACAGTTCGTAGGTTCAAGCCCTGTGTCGGGCTCTGTGCTGACAGCTAGCTCAGAGCCGGGAGCCTGTCTTTGGATTCTGTATGTCTCTCTCTGACCCTCCCCTACTCACATTGTCTCTCTCTGACTCTCAAAAAGGAAAAAAAAAAAAAAAACATAAAGAAAAAAGTGAGATGGGATGGACTTCTGAAGCCAAAGACCAAAGGGAAAGAGTTCAGTCTCGTATTGCCTATTTGCATTAGCTGGCAGAGAGAATTCTTTCATTTCTCATGTTGTCGCCTCTTCCAGAGTTCAGGAGAATTGCCTCTCTTTTTCTGTGAAGAGATCTGGATCTCTAAGAAAATGAATTCCTAACCCTTGCACTGTTGGTTTCTTCAGAAATAAAACCCATATACTATTTACTAATAATGACAATTTCCTGCCTCAAAAAATTTAAAAGTGATACAGACTATTGGGATGAAGCACATTTTCATGAATACTGTAGACTTTAGTTTGCAAATGTCACAGAATTACTATTCATACCCATCCAATCGATGAAAATCTCAAATGTGATTTGGCCTGCCATTTGGCTTAATGTGAAAATACTATCCGAGACGATGGTAATAAATCCATGCAAGTTCATCCCTGTGTGGTAACTTGTAGGATGATGTAAAAACTAAAATGTTAGCTTCAGTCTTCTCAAGAGCATAGGGAAATTTAGAAACTTTGTGGCACTAGTAGATATACTGATGAGAAAAACTACATTTTAGCAAAACCAAAACCAAAACCAATCACGTGCATTTATTGAGTAGTTACTACTTTGCAAATCTATGTGCTCTAAGTTATATGCTAGGAATATAACTGTGAAAAAGACAAATGCTTCATGTCCGTCATGGAGTCTGATAATCTACTTGAAGGACACCATTTTTTTTTAACATTTTTTCAATGTTTATTTATTTTTGAGAGGGAGACAAAGTGTGAGTGGGGGGAGGGGAGGAGAGAGAGGGAGACACAGAATCCGAAGCAGGTTCTAGGCTCTGAGCTGTCAGAATTCAAACCCACGAACCAAGAGATCATGAGCGGAGCCAAAGTAGGATGCTTA